TTGCCCATCACCAAAATACAAGTCTCTCCTCAAATCCGCAGGTAGCTTGGTGTTTAAAATCATTCATAGTCAAGTTATTCCACATTAGGCACTGGTGGAAGGGCTTGTGCATTCCTTGGGCAGCTTATAGACCTGGGGTTAGCAAACTATGGTCCATTGACCACATTTGGTCTACCACCTTCTTAAAGAAAAACTTTTATTGTAACATAGTCAAGCTTATTCATTTATGCATTGTATTATAAAGGGAAAGTTGAGTAGTTGCAACAGAGAGAAAAGCCGATGAAATCTAAAATGGGCTTCTGGCACTTTACAGAAAATTTGTGCTTCCCTTTTTCCTGGATGAAATGTTGATAGATGGTTCATGATTAGGGAAGAGTGCCATCACCTACATCTCTCCTGCATAGGTTTTAAAATCAAACAAAGTAACACCCAATCCCCATGTGGCTGTCATTTGGGAAATATATTTATGGGTACTTTACATGGGTTCATTTCAGGATTCACAGTACCTCCACCTATGCAGCCAGCAAGGTCCTGAGAAGGGGTGGCAGGAGATTAAGAAAAAACAAGACACACAGAAAAAAGCTCTGACCAGGTGGGACCTGACCTCTCTGATGGAGAGGCAGTGACAGCACAGAGCAGTTTGCATCTTTATTTATACACAGTAAAAAGGGACAGAGCATGCAACTAGCCAAAAATGCAAGGTCTCAGTGTCTTGCTGAGAACACTGAAAGTAGAAACATCTTCAGAGCTATCTGTTCTGTAATTAACTGGGAAGAACACCAAGGCCAGACAACTCTGATGTACCACTGAGCTAGAAGTCAGCTTGTTTCTGTGGTCTGCCTCTGGCATTTTATATTCCCAGGACTGGCTTTGGTCTAGTTGCAAGGAGTTTGCCAGCCTCTGGCTCACCTATGCCCCACATCAGAGAAGGAAAGAACTGGAAGGACTCCTGGAATATGTCTAATTTGTCATCTTTTGCAGATAGTATGTGAGTTAAGCTTATCAACATAGTTACAATGTAACGGAATAGAGTTGCCTGATTCCCAGGCTAGTACACTTTCATCTTATTCTCAATGGAAGACCATAGTATATTCATTGGATCTTACTATTTTGTTTTTGTTTGTTTTGTTTTTAGAGGTACCTGTTTTCTGACTATAAAAGAAATAAACTTATTGAAAGAATATTTACATAGAAGAGTATAGGGGACAAAGTAGATTGATTAGTTAACTGACCTGGAAATAAATGTTAACTTTGGGGGATTTTCTTTCTGTCTTTTTTTAAAGATGTGTACATATTTATTAGTGAATTAGTAATTGTTTTTTTTACTGAGTGTTTAGTTCATGATAGTATTATATATATATTTTTTGTATTAGCATCTTGTGTCCTTTTAATATAATGTGACTTGTGACCACTCTTTTAAAATACAGTATTTATTGACTTAATAATCAATTATTGATATACAGTGTTTATTTGCATTTTTTAGCAGTTATACTGTGGTCTTTATACATAAATGTACATGCTTATCTCTGATTATGTTTTTTCAGTTTTTAAATCTGATTACTGAAATTTTTTACTATGGGAAAAAGTAAATATGATTTAAAGACATGTTTTAAAGCAAAATTTTACAATAATTTTATACCTGAGATTATCATGGAAAGCAACTTGATACATATTCCTAAGTTAGTTTTTTAAAATGTTATTAAAAATATAGAAAACAGGAAATTTGGGGAAATCATTCATAATTTACTGTGTCACTGCAATGATTGTTCCTTCTAGATCTTATCACATGAATATTTTAATAGACACATGGTGTTTTGAATTTGAAGTTTTACTTGCCTGAATTTCTCATCTATATAGCACATATATTTTCAAAATGGTCCATATGTTCATTTTTAATTTTTTGTTTCCATAATTCCTCCACCAAGTACCATAATTTGCTCACCTTCTGTATCTACCAATAAAAAAATTATTTACAATAACACTGCCAGAGGCCTGGGGAGATAGCTCAGTGGCACAGTACGTACCTGGGAAGCATAAGGTTCTGAGTTTGTTTCCTGCCCAGCCCCCTGCAAAAAAGTAAAAGAAATAACACTGCCAGGGATATTTTTTATAAGTAACAAAAGAATTATTTTTTTGTGTCTTCTCTAAGAAGCTACTTTTATGTTTGTTTTTTTTGTTTTGTTTTGTTTCGTTTTGTTTGAGACAGGGTCTCACTGTGTAGCTCAGGCTGGCCTTGAAATTGAGGCGATCCCCCTGCCTGAGCCTCCCAACTGTGAAGCTACTTTTCTATGACAACATTATGTAATTTAATTGCTAGGTCAGAGAATAAGGATATTTTTAATGATGTCCTCCTATGGTTTCAGTAACTCAGGTCAAAAGCTCTAGGAGCCTGGGGATATAGTTCACTGTTAGAGTTTCCCTAGTGTGTCCAAGCCTGTGGGCTTGAACCCTAACACTGGCAGCAAAAAAACACGATAAAATCATCTGAATATATTTTTAGTGCACCTGTCTTACCTCTATTCTAGACACAAGTGCCATTTTGCATACATTCCAAAACTGAATGTCACTTCTTCCTTCTTAGGCCAGTGTTTACCCTTTATTATAGGTCATTAACTTCAGACAAACCAAAAACTGGCCAGTTATCCTTGATTTCTCCCTCTTTCTTATGTCCTCCTCACTTGTTCCTCCCCTTCCTGGACTGCTGTGAATGCCTCCCAGGGATTCTCTTCCCTTTACCCTCACACACACTGCAGTGGGCAGAGGAAAGAGTTTTGATAAAATGGCAGATCAAATCATTTCAGAGTTTCATGATGTCTCTTCAAATCCTTGTGTGACTTTCTGCTCAATTTAGAGTAAAATTCTTCATGTGATCTGCAGTTTTCATACTTGATGCCAGGTTCTGGGTCTCATTTCCAGTGCTTCACACCTTGGCCTTGTTAAGGCTCTATTACTGCAAAGTGCTGAGCTTGATTCTTCTCACATGCTCTGTTCACAGAGGTAAAATTTCCTTTTTTCATCTGTGTAGTTCTAGTTAATCTCCACATTTGATATTATGTCTGACCCCTTGGGATGCTGGTTGTGAACTGTCAAGAACACTTGTCTAACTTTCCCCCCAGTTTTTGGCATCAGTAACACTCAGACACCACCTGCGCTGAGTCTCTGTGGGATTCTGTGGCAGGTGATTGGTCCCCTTAGTCCTGGTCCTGTGGAAGTGGACCAGGAAGATCCAGTTAGCATCAGCAGACAGGCACAGGCCTGGATGAGAGGCATTCAGGAAACCATCAGATGCATTTGAACAGTTGCCTGTTCCTTGGCCTTTGAGGTCTTAACCTGGGTAAAACTCTTTTCTGTCTCCCCTTTTCCTTGCACTAATGCTGCTAATTGTGCTTCTCACCTTTAGGTTGTAAAGAGATATTTTGGGATGAACAGTTTTGATTTTGACATTTCAGGCAATAGAGTATGCAGATATTTTCTGTACTATTTTTGCAACATTTTGTAAGTCTGAAGTTACTTCCCTATTAAAGTATTTTTTGTCTTCAGCTGTATAGTGTGTCCTCATTGAGCTGTACCTGAAGCAAACACTAATTGATACAACATTCAAAAGAAGGGACAATTAGAGTAGCTCTAGTTGTATCAAATAGAGAGGTCCCTTGGTGCAGTCCCAGCTCGAAGTGAATGCAGTCTTCACTCCGTCTTCCAGTTATTTGATTTTCCCATGAAATTTTCATTATAATAACTATTAGAATGAATTTTATTATATTTTGTACAGGATGCATCAATTGACATGAATGTTCCTATGCAGTTAGTTCCTATTCTAATGTTAAAATAGTTGGTCTTATCAAGTGCTTGATTGTTGAAAAGTATGTCTGTGTGAGCCTGCCACTTCTTCCACAGCTGAAAATTGAGATTTGTGAACTAGGGGTTACATAGTAGCCCTGATTTTTGCTAACAGAGTCACACTGTTATCATGAGAGGTATTGTGTGAAATATTCGATCATTTTGTTAAACTTTTTCTTTTTTCCATCTACTGGGAAAGTGATATTCCCTCAACATTTTTCCCCCTATGATCAGGGCTTGTGATTTTTGCAAATCTGAAATATTTTCTGTTGAAACCAAAGAGAAGATTTGTGGTTGTTGAAAATGCAAGGAAGTGAAAACACACAGACTGAAAGAGAGACTTACCGAGGTGAGTGAGCAGGGGACCTTCTCTGGGAGAAGCAGCCAGCTTTCAGAGTTTTAAAAAAATGAGATTCTTCACACATAAAAGGGATGTAGAGGACAGGTGTGTGTGAGCATTTCTAGGGCCAGCTTTTCTCCCTGTATTCATTGTACCTTTCTTACTTCCAGCAAACTTGCCCTTTTACAGTCTCCCATTTCTCCACTCTGAGTACAAACCATCGCTATTATCTCTTGTGCCCTAATCTTATCCTGTGTGGTATCTGTTGTTTTCCATTTAATGCCATTGTCTGTGATCCTGTCATTCCTGAGTATATATTGCAGCTCTTTTGATGGAGCTTCCTCATCATGGTGATTTATTTCCCTTGTGGAAATCTCTCTCTTCTTCCAAGTCTGAAGTACTTGCTATGGCTGCCTTTGTTGGTCCTTACTCATTTGCCATTACTGAGACTTATGCAAGTTAGGGTGCTACAATTCAGGTCCTCTTTTGTGGCCTGCATCTAAGATTTACTCTGATGGTGTTTTTCAGATTAGAATAACAAGCCTGCTCTAGAGCATGATGCATCTGAAAATGATTCACCATGGATTGTAGCAAAGAGATTCCAACAAGATGAATACCAGGGTTCTACATTGGAAGGAAAGTATGGCTGTGAGGGTATGAAGGAGAACTCTCACAGAGAGTTTCCTGGTCCATGTCTTTTTCAGAAAGGAGGTTTTGGGAGAATAACATTCATCCACAAGAATGCACACCCTGAAATGATCAGTCAAGAGTATAATATTAAGAAGAACTTGCTTTTGACCTCAAACCTTGTTAAACATCTCAGGGTGTCTACAGAAGAGAGCCTGCATCAATGGGAAGCAAACAATACATGTGCCAATGAAATTTCTGACCAAGGTAAATGTGTGACTCTTTCCACAAAGAAAAAAGCTTGGAAATGTCATGAGTGTGGGAAGAACTTTACTCAGAGCTCTTCCCTCATCCAACACCAGAGGACTCACACTGGAGAGAGGCCCTACCCTTGCACAGAATGTGGCAGAGCATTTAGTCGTAATTCTTTTCTTGTTCAACATCAAAGAATTCATGCTGGAGTGAAACCATATGAATGTGAGCAGTGTGGGAAAACATTTAGATGTCGATCATTTCTCACTCAGCATCAGAGAATCCACACCGGGGAGAAGCCTTATAAATGTACTGAATGTGGGAATTCTTTCCGCAATTATTCACATCTCAATGAACACCAGAGAATTCACAGTGAAGAGAAGCCTTATAAATGTGATAGATGTGACAAGGCTTTCAACCAGAACACACACCTTATTCATCACCAGAGAATTCACACTGGAGAGAAGCCTTATTTATGTAATGAATGTGGTTCTTCTTTTCGCAAGCACTCAAATCTTATCCAGCATCAGAGAATTCACACTGGGGAAAAACCTCATCAATGTGATGAATGTGGAAAAACCTTCCAAACAAAGGCAAATCTGTCTCAGCATCAGAGAATTCATACTGGAGAAAAACCATATAAGTGTAAGGAATGTGGCAAGGCCTTCTGTCAGAGCCCATCTCTTATTAAACACCAGCGCATTCACACTGGTGAAAAACCTTATAAATGTGAAGAATGTGGCAAAGCTTTTACTCAGAGTACCCCACTCACCAAACATCAGAGAATCCACACTGGGGAGAGACCCTACAAGTGCACTGAATGTGGCAAAGCCTTCATTCAGAGCATTTGCCTCATTCGCCATCAGAGAAGTCACACTGGAGAAAAACCCTACAAATGCAGTGCATGTGGAAAGGGCTTCAACCAGAACACCTGCCTCACACAGCACATGAGGATTCATACTGGAGAGAAGCCCTATAAGTGTAAGGAATGTGGGAAAGCATTTGCACATAGTTCTTCTCTTACTGAACATCATAGGACTCACACTGGTGAGAAGTTGTATAAATGTAGTGAGTGTGAGAAAACCTTCCGCAAATATGCGCACCTGAGTGAGCACTACCGAATTCACACTGGTGAGAAGCCTTATGAGTGCATTGAATGTGGGAAGTTCTTCAGACACAGTTCAGTCCTTTTCAGACACCAGAAACTTCACAGTGGGGAATGATTCTGCCCCATAGCTTGTTACAGTTTCTCTAGATAGAGTGACTAGGAATCTGGCTGGGCAGAGAGGGCCAGGAGAAGGATGAAGTTGGCTTCACTACTCTGTTCTGAGGAGCATACTCCAGAAATGGGAGTGGGCTTGAATAATATAGAGCTGACTCCAAGAGGACACCTGGGAATATGGGGTTGAAAGGAAATTCCAACTTTTCAGATAAGCCTGTGGACCACCAGTCCTGCTGGTGAGACTTGGGGCATTTGTAAATAAACATTTGTGCTTCTTTCAAACTCCTACCCACCCTCTGACCTTGTTATCTGTATGCATTGGATGGGAAGGGGGTTGATGGTCCCTTTCCAAACAGTGAGGAGGGGAGAAGCTACATCAGAACTTGAAGTAGCTACCATATACTTACGATTCTCTGAACATACCTGTGAGGATACCAGGGAGACCCTGACCTGAGGAAGTGGTCCTGTGAATTGGAAATAGGCAGAATTGAGAAACAATGTGTATTCATTCATTGGTTTGTTCATTAAACAAGGGGATATGTGGCAAGACCCACTTTGTTCTCTTTACGTGTCCTCGTGGAGAAGGCTTGTATCAGAGTGAGAGAAACCTTTCCAGTCCTTTAAAGCTTATAGGTCTGTTGAGCTAAGAAGGAAGTAGGTCAAAAGAGTTTACCATTTTCTGGAAAGGGTACAGAGAGGAAACCCTAGCTTACATGATTGAAGAACATTGACTTACCAGGGAAGAAATGGTTTGTGGTATACGGCTGGTGATAAGACGCCTCGGAGCTGAGAGCCTGCATGTGACTATGCAGGCCATATACAAAACTTTGCTGTGCCTCAGATGTACACATGTAACTTGAAGCTAGGTCAGACATTAGTTTTTAGTGACCAGAAGAGAGGGCCCTGCCTATTAACAGTGTCCTAATGAAAAAGAAGTTACTAGCTTCCAGGTGAAAGCATTAGTGATAAAGGACAGCCTATCAGGCTGCCTTGAGTGTGGGGACTGTGTGTGGGAGAAAGCATTAGGAAAATGAACTTTTTGTCAAATTTCCAAAAAATCAAGATAGTATGAGTCATTACTGTGATGCAGTTTTATTTTGAGAAAAAAATGATAGTTTTCTCTTTATTTCTTCATCTGCTTTTCTGTTCTTACTTACCACCCAGAAGTTGAGCTCCAAAAGTGAGGATGCTCTTTCACCAGTACTGTGGTAGCTCAGTTCACAAACTTAATTTGTCTTGCAATTTTGGAGAAGATGGTCACATTTGCTTTTGTGTGGGAATGAGGGCCACAGTCATGTTTGTCACCTGATGCAGAGTTGCAAGCAAAAACGAAATTTTGCCAAACATTTCTGTTTGTGAACCAAATTGTTTGCAAACAAAAGTATTCGTGTACTGAAGTACCACTGAATTTTCAAAAGTTTCTGAGCCCTGAAGCTTTTATAATTTAAAAATATGACTATTAGAAACAACTACAATAAGTTGATGCTGGAATACTTGGTTATTTGGAACCAAGTGAAAAGAACACCTATCGTCAAAGCATTGATTTTGTCTATTAATGATCACTAATGGGAATGAGGTAGAAATAATGCATTTACTTTCCTTCTCTAGCATGATGGTGTTCTCCAAACCTACCACATTAGAGTTCATAACTTAGGAAATTAATACCTTACTGACAGAAATGACCCTAAGAAATCCTCCCAGTTATTTTCTGTTCTTGAAAATTACCAAAATAAAATGTCAATAAATTTATACTTCTAAGGAAAAATAACACTACCAAATTCCTGGCACAAAGTAAATGTTCTATAAATATTTGGTGAATTAATACTTTTGTTTTTTGGAATTAATATATTTTTAATCTCTTTGCCTACTAAAACTAAAGAATTTTATGATGTGTAGATATTTTGAGTATACTTACACATTACCATCTTTGGTACTGGGAATTGAGCTCATGGCCTCAGGCTTGCCAGACAAGTGCCTATGCCTCTGAGATATATCCCCAGCCCCACAGAACTATCTTTGAAATCTTCTATGGAGATAGAGAAAATGGAGCTTCTGTGAAAAATAGGAAAAATCTAAAAGGTGAAAGATAATTATGATTTATTTTGAAAAAGCTGTTCTAAAATTAAATGAACATGATTCTGAATATTTTAATGCTCACACTGAAAACGTCTGGCATATTTTTACTTTATGATCAAATAGGAAGGAAAAGCTTTCATCTTCCTCTACCCTCACCCTGTATTCTCATATGTCACAAAGCTGCTCCTGATCTTCCTTCAGTTGCTGGCTGTGAGTGTGCCCAGTCATTCCAGGGTGGCCCTTGACCTGGGGATTGCTTTGTCCTGCAACCTTTGCTCTTAGACAGCTTGTGTGCCTATTCAGCCACATTATCGTACTGAAATTGTCTTCTAGATCTGGAAGCCATCTTCATTCCTCTTCCTTCCTTCCTTCCTTCCTTCCTTCCTTCCTTCCTTCCTTCCTTCCTTCCCTCCTTCCCTCCTTCCCTCCTTCCCTCCTTCCCTCCTTCCCTCCTTCCCTCCCTCTCCCCCCTGCTAAGTTCAGGCTGGCCTTGAACTTGGAGCTATCCTCCTGCCTCAGCCTTCCAAGTGCTGGGATTACAGGTTTGTGCCGTTGTGCCCAGCTCCTATTGCTTTAGTCCAACTCACAGATTTACTTCCTACATAGTTTCTGATTTTTCTAACAGTCTTCCAATTTCTTGTCACACTAAGCTTTCATATTTTCTCTGCATGATCTTTTTATGCATAACTGGAAGCTTCTTCATTTTACCTTAGAATAAGGTTTTACCCCCTAGTGTGCCCCACTTGTCATTCACATCATTACATGAGTCACTCTTCTGTACCTCTGGATCCACTATGGAAATGCCAGTTAGGGTCCATCCTTTCCTTTGTCAGGAGGGTGGGAGGCACTCAATTTATAAGATAAATACAGTTTTGCCCTCAGAGTCTTTGATTCCTACGTGTGAGTGTGAGGACCTGGTTTTGTGTTTGACCTCTTCCTTCAAAGGTAGAATCTTAACCTCAATCCTAGGTATCACCAGCTTTACTTCTCTCATTGGCTACATCATGGCCAAAGCCACCTTAGCTATGTGGAGTGTTTTTGGTGTCTGTCCCCACAAACCATTTTCTACTTCATTGAAACTAGCTCAGCCTAAAACGCTTTTTTTTTCCCCCCCTTTTTAAGACCGGGTGTCACTATACAGTTCATGTTGGCCTTGAACTCACTTTGTAGCCCAGGGGGGCCTCAAACTTAATGATCCTCCTGCCTCAGCCTCCCAGGTACTGGGATGACAGGCATGCACCACCACACCCAGCCTAAAACGCTTTGAACCCCAGGTTACCGTTTCTAGTGAAGTGCTCTTCTGAGGGCGCCTCATTCTAAGCTTAATGCCCACACAGAAGAGCCATCATTTAGAAATCTTTGAACCCTAAAAAAAAAAAAAGAGGAAACACGATTAGATGTAGGTTTTCTGGCCTGTGGAATGTTAGGACTGCACAGAAAAAATTCCTGCTGCCAGAGAAGTGCTAAAAATGTAACACCAGTAAAATTTAGTGCCAAGTAAAATGACTTTGGCACATAGCATGTCACTGTCCTTCTACAAAGTATCTCCTTGTTGAACGTGGTTCCCGGAGTCCTGCCAGTGGTACATCCACTGCTGTGTTCTCTTCATGTTGAGGGAAAAGAGCCCATCTGGAAATCTGCTGCTTTTCATTTATTCAGAAAGCGTTGGCCCTGAGTGCTGAGGACGGCTGCCCTGGAGGTGCACACAACCCCTGTGCTGCGCCTGCGGGCAGCAGGAGCACCTAGGAGAGCTCCAGGCGCTGGCTCAAGCCTCACCCCTGGAACGCAGGAGAGCCGGGTCTGCACGTTTCCAGGAGCTTTGCAGAAGGGAATGGGGCGCTACCGTGCGGGGCAGGGGCGGGGCGCTGGAGCCAGGCTGACCCCAAGAGACTGGAGCACGGATGTGCGAAAGATGGTCGGCCTGGCCCTTAGGAGTTCCAGGCGTTCGTCGGAATTTACATGAATTAACCTCATTCAGTCTTCAGGCCCGTGAAATCTCGCCTCATTGTTTTATAAAGGACGAAGGAGACAGGTAACGTGATCTGTCGAGATGAGGCCCTCGCAATCTGGGTTGAAGCCCACAGCAGAGCTCACGTCCCGTTGACGGGCTGTTGAATAAAGGTCCCGAGTGGGTGAGGTGTGTGGGGTTCCCGCAAGGCGGCCGCTCGCTGGCAGGCGAAATCTGTGCGAGAGGGGTTGCGCCCGCCTGGTGAAAGCCGTGACGCAGGAAGAAAAATGCGGCCGGGTGAAATGACACGAGAGAAGGTCCTTGGGGTCCACCGCATGCTCGCATCCTTTCAGCTTCCTAGTGCCGGTGCGAGGCCCGTTCAGGTGCAAGTGAAGGCAGTTTACACAGCTCAGATTTGGGGGGGGGAACACCGAGGGGGGACGGCCCGCCTGCCTAGAGAGGAAGGCTAGGGACGCGGGACGCAGGGCGGACTGGTGACGTCACGATGCGGGACGCAGCGCGGACTGGTGACGTCACGAGGCGGGACGCGTTTGAGCATCCCCTGCGGCGTCTTTGGAGTTTTGCGGGTGCGCAGTAGCCCGCGGGAGCTTGTTCTGGAACGCGGTCTCAGGTTTCCGGGCTGTGGTCGGATCGGACTCAGCCCCTCCCCAAGACCCGTGGTCGCCGTACCTCCCCGTGAGCCGCGGCCTTGAGGCTGGGCCGGGGGCAGGGGAGGCCGGCCAGAGCCCTGGGCTGGGTCGGGACGCCGGGCCGTAGTGCGACCTTTCGCGTGCCCGCTTGGGCAGCTCCCGAGCCCTTCCGGGCTTTTGTTTTGCTTTTATTTTTCCCCATTAGTGAATACTACTGCTTGCTTTGCCACTTCAAAGGGCTGTGGGGGATGAATATATGAGAATTACGCCTTTCATTAAGTATTTTTCTTTATCGGCAACAAATTAAGTCTGGTCTGCAGACAGCCGGGCGTAGGGGAGGCCGAGGCAGGAGGACCATGGAGTTCGAACCCAGACGTGAAAACTTAGCGACTTTGTGTACCATTAAATTAAAAGGGGGAGGGAGCCTCTGAGATGGAGCTCATTTCAAAGATCTCAAGTTCAATCCCCTCCCCCAATTGTATGTACGTATTGTATATATGTGTGTTCATACACGATAGTAATTTAACAGTAGATGCTTCTTATTGAATGCTTAACAGTCAGCATTTTTCTAAGTACTTCCCACATATTAACTCGTTTATTCATCACCAGGACCACAGGCTACATTTATTATTTTTTTTCTTTTTATTTTTGAGACAGGGTCTCCCTGTGCAGTTCAGACTGGCCTTGAGCTCACTTTCTAGCCCAGGCTGATTTTGAACGCGCAAGGATCCTCCTGCCTGAGCCTGCCAAGTGCTGGGATTACAGGCATACGCCATCCCGCCCAACATTAGTTATATTATTATCTTCATCTCCATTGAACAGTTGAAAAGCGTGGCGTATAGACAGATGAAATAATTTTCCCAGGATCGCGTTGC